ATTTTTTTTTTAATCTAAAAATGATTTTGAAAAGACCTTATGCCTGTTTAGAAAAACAGCTCTTTAGGTCGCTTTAAGTTGTTATTTCCATTCTTGGCTTTCAAGCTGCCATTTTACCTTAGAAGATTTTTCCAATATGCAGTGAGGAAAGAGAATAGTATTAGTCACGTTTTGTGCTGTGTTCTTAAAAATCTTTGTTGATTGGTTTGGTACTTTAACAATACTTTACCCAAGTTCTTGTTAAATGTTGGAATCATTGTGAAATTCTATATTATAAGAGAAAAAGTATTGTCTCCATTTCAACTTGTTTTTTCCCTTAAATTGTAGCCTTAGTATCATTTTAGATTGAATGCTTGATTAATCATGTTTAATATTCTCTCTGTCTTCTCTAAAATATATTGACTTTCAGAAGATAAATTGTGTGACCAGTTTCTTGGAAAAAGTATTGGAAAGTACCTGCACCTTGTTTGTTACAAGTCAAAATAGTTCCTATCAACACAAAGGATCTAAAATTTTGCTCTTCTATTTGAGGGTAAAGCAAAACTGTAACTTCTCATGTGCTAAATATGTATTGTGGCCTTGGACCAAGTTTTTGTATCTTCCACGTTTACTTAATGTGAGAAGTAACAATTCTGCTTCTCCACAAATTGATTGTACCTGCCATGGCAGATGGACTTATTGTGTTCAAACAATGGCCGTGATAATTTAATTTATCATGGGCATTTTCTTTGTTATGTATAGTATTTGTGAATTTTGAAGGTTTTGTACACTTGCAATAGATGTTGACATCTAATGCACAGTCCACCTTGCTACATTGTTAGCATATTTGAAATTGTTCCAATAATCACATCTGAATATTTGTTTTTATGTGCATTAGAAGAGTCTCATTTTTTTGCATGTAAAATATAGTACAAGAATGCTGACAGAAATTGCTATCTCAATCCACCTTACTACCCATTACCTTGTTTACTACCTACATCAGTTGGACAGGGGTGTTGAATTATGTGACCAAACACAACACACCAAAGCAAGAGGAAAGAAGGCCTGACCTCAAAGCACATTTCAACTGAAAGCATGTGTGTCAAAGAAACATCTAACACACACAAAAAAAAAAAAAAAATGTTTCCTTTTTTTCCCCTTCATACTACTACTAAATTGGATTTATTCATACTTTTTTAATTTACGAAAGAGAAATTGTACCTTTGGACCTGCTATGGTCCCTTTGCGAGAATTTCACCTTGGTCATCTTAGTTCAATTTCAGAACGAGTCATTATGATCATTATAGGAGAAAATCCTTATAAAATAAATTAGAGGCGGGAGGAAGTTTGTGGAGTGAATTATCATTAATGCAAACTTCATCCATAGTAGTATGGAGGACAAACTCAGCTCGGTGTGTTGGAGCAAGTATGTCACAACTACACGAGCAGAGCTCTGAGCTGCTTTTCTCCTCTACATTGTGGATTTTTTTTTTTTTTTTTTTTAAGATAAAAATGTACTCCCATTAATTCTGGAGGAAATTTTGAAAAAAAAATTCCCCTTCCAATTTAATTGGGAGGAGTTTTCTGTAGGTTGGGTCTCTTTTTACTTTTCAAATTACGTGCCTATTCAATAGCCTCACTTCACTGTTTCAATTGCAATTGAAATGTGAATTCATTAGTTCTTGGATGTTGTTGGCTGTGCTGCGGGTTGCAGTTGTAAGTTCCAAGACTTCAAAACTTTCAATTTACACATTATTTGTTTAACAGCCATAGAACTTTATAGCATCGTGATGCGATGTTTAAAACACATGATAAACGTGTGTCCATGAGCTTTCGCAGCTATGTGGGTTTTAATGATCAAGAAAACAAGGTGAGTGTCCGTCCCCAAACATAGATTTATTAACGTCAAATCTTACAGTTTAAGGAAATTATCGGTTTACTCCTTTTATAAAGACAGTTTGTTCATTTTACATGAATCTGAACGTCGCGATCAGGAGTGCCCCGTTTTAAGACTTTGGTTCTAATGGAAGCTTGAAATGTTTTGACAACTAAACATAACCTTACACTCTCTCCTTCAAATCATACTACAATTATTTGCCTTGTTTATTTTTAAAGTAGTTTCCTCTCCCTGAAAATGTAATTAATAATTTTCTTTGTCATTGTTAAGTTTGAATTTTATCTGATTTAGGATGTGGACATTGGATTGGAAGAGAATTTTGACGAAACGTTGAATACTCGACTACTTGCAGGTAATTATTGTGATCAATATGATGTTTTAAAGCTGTTCAAAGTTACTGCAAAATTTATTTTGATTTTTTTTTAGGCGAAGCAGTTGTTGCTGAAGCACAAAATGTCCTAATGTTTGCACCTCTCAGTGAGAAAAAGGGTAAATCTGGTATTCTGACTGTCACAAATTTCAAGTTGTCATTTGTTACAACTGAAGAAAGGCCCCGAGATGTAAGTTTCCAGCAGATGCTTTTGGTCTCTGTGTTTATTATGAAGTGATTAGGTCTGTATAAATGCAGGTTTCTTTACATATCTATTTTTGTTTTAAGGAGCGAGGCCTGCAGGAAAATCTTCTCCTTGGTGAATATGATGTTTGCTTGGCAAATGTGGATGAAATATACCAAATGATAGACAAAGACAAGCGCAGGAAAATGATGCCTGGAAACAACATCTCTGGCAAAGTTAAAGGCCTCTATATAGTGTGTAAAGTGAGTTACTTATTTTTATCATTTGTAAACCTTTTAAGCCTCTTTTCCTGTTTTTGTATTGAAATTCTCTTTGAATTATTTTTTTTTGCTATGAAATGCTTCGCTTTCAGAACATGAGGGTCATTCAGTTCAGCTTTAAATTTTCCCCTGTTGGCCATGGCAAAACATTAACAAACGCTTTGTTACATCATGCCTTCCCAAGAAAGCACCATCTTCTCTTTGCTTATGATTTTAGGTAAGTGATATCTTGCCAAGTTCTCTAGGAAGTGTAACTTAAGGTGTAAATGTTGTCATCACTATTTTAATTTTAGAGAACGTTATTACAATAGTCAAGGACCAGTAACCATGTTCAATGAAAAGAAGGATTGGGAGAAGGAAATTCGTAGAACAGGCGCTGTTGGATGGAAATTATCAGATGTTAACCAAGGCTTCCAACTATCAACCAGGTGAAAAAGTTACTCAATAAATAAATATTTAGTGATTTAGTTTGATCCTTGAATGAAACCTAATAGGGTTCCTTTTTTTGTGTGTGTTTAAATATAGCTTGCCCCAGTGTTTGGTTGTCCCAGATGCTCTCGTTGATTACCAGTTGACGGAAGCAGCGCGGCATTTTCGCTGCAACCGGCCACCAACTTGGTGCTGGAGCTCAAGTCATGGTGCAGCGTTAGTTCGTATGGCTGATCTGTTGCCCACAATCACTGATAGGTTAGATATACCACAGAAGGTTTTTGGTATCCAGGTTGAACTATCTCCACTTCGCTTATTCTAGTAGATCTTTTGGGGTAATACTGCCTTTATTGCTTTTCTATTTCACCCAACTAATACCAAGTATATAGTTGCATAAATTATTGTTATTTTTTTTATTTTTTCATCTATTTTTTTAATCTAATGCAAGTACAAATCTGAAAAAATTCTGCTGTGCACCATATAATTCTGTGTCAAACCTCTCTTTTTTCTTCTTTTACTTTTTATCTTAACAGACATTTGGTAGTGGGTATGCAACTGAAGGTTATTGAGGCTTTCTGGTGTGTTTATGCTTACAGTAGAATGCTGGTCATTCAACCATCAGTTATTCGACATTCCGGCTTGTCGAACATCATCCCTGAAACAAGGTTAGGGATTATAGCTGTAGTCTGTGTTCCAGATAAGTCAGATCTGATGATGATTGATGTGTACTTTATTGGCCAAGCTTACACAATTTATTTTGCCGGCAATATTGTTCAATTTAGTTGCACTTTGCTTCCTAGTCTTATCTTCTCTGTTGGTAATAGATTTTCTTCTTCAAATTTCTTCATCTTTTGTATTTTGCTTTGTATTTTTATTAACTTACCTCTACTAATATTGTATAAGGGGAGAGAGAGCGGGCTTTGAGGCTCGTCTAAGCACCCTCATCAGGGAAGGCTTGGAAGGTGGAAGTTTTGCTTTGTAATCTCTTTCAGGTGGTGTTAATTTTATTAGTGCAATACATATTTTTAACAAAATTTCTATCCACAGGACTCCAGAAAACATTATGCTGGAAAACGTTCGGAAAGGACACCCTCAGAGGACGCAGCCTGAACTCATGGAGCTGACACAGGATCTGCCATCACCCAAAGATGTTTATGGTAGTTATTGCAAGCTGCGTGATCTCTGTACTCCTGGTATGTTTTTTTGTAGTTTGTGTCACCATAGCACAACCAAAAAGCATTTTTTGAACTTGACCACTTATTAATTCTTACTATTCTCCTTTTACCAGATAATGTACGTCAGTTTTGGATTCAGGACAACCACTTCCTGTCACAAGTGGAGAGTTCAAAGTGGCTTACAACTGTTTCTGCATGTCTTACCAAGGCTGCCAAGGCTGCTACTTTTCTTCAGGACAATATAACTGTTGTTCTTCAGGAAGCAGATGGGAGAGATATGTCATGCTTGATATCCTCTTTGACTCAACTTCTGGTTGATGCACACTTTAGAACGATCTTAGGTTTCCAGACACTTCTTCAGAAAGAATGGATTGCTATGGGACACCCTTTCTGCTCACGTCTTGGCCATATTTTAAATCCAGAAGTGCAACAGGTCTGCTATCAAAATGGCATTGCGTAAATATTCCTCTGGAGTTTCCAAAACCAGGTTGTTTAGTGCCTTAACTTCTTGATTTCTCTTTCCAGTCACCCATTTTGCTTTTGTTCTTGGACTGTGTTTGGCAACTTTTGCGTCAGTTCCCATCAGCCTTTGAGTTTACTGAAACTTATCTTACTACACTGTGGGATTGTGCTCATATCACTGTATTTGACACATTTCTTTTCGACTGTGAACATGAAAGACAAAATGCAAGCCAGGTATTCAAATTTGAAATTATGAGAATTATGAAATTTATCAACATATTCTACTTCAAGATCCTCTCTGGTTTAGGATCAGAGCAAGAAAATTACCCTCCGTTCTTTGTGGGACTGGGGAGAGCAATTTTTAGAGAAGGACATTGCTTTGTTCCGTAGCCCACTATACCATCCATCTAAATCAGAGGCAGTGCTCAATGTACTGTGTTCCCTACCAAATCTTGCCTTGTGGTCCCAATGTTTCTTCAGATGGATTCCAATTCTTGAACTTAAGGGTAAGTATTTCATTCTTCCTCATCACATTTTCTACCCAAACAACAATTTTTTTGTATTTTTTTCTTTTATCTAGCTGGTGGATATCCCCAAATTGACCTCGGTGTACGAGCACTTCATGCTCAGATCGACTATCTTAGAGAGCAACTAGCTGAAGCCAAGGCAGGAGAGAGGACAAGCAATCACCGGCTCTGTGCAAAACTCTCCAAGCAACGTGTTACTTCTTTTTTTCCATTCAGTGCTACTATTGATCCTGTGATTAGTCCAGCCTTACTAAATAGTACCTTAGCTCTGAATAACAGCTTTGTTTCCAATGAAGCCTTATTGGATTCACAGTCTTTGCTGAATGCACCTGACTGACAAACGATCTCCATCCAGTGTTTTTTTATTATTATTACTTTTATTGACACGTTTTCTCCTCACATATTTTCTATAATGCATCAAATTTTTTGTAAAATTTCATAGTGACTGTTATTTGAACTACTGCCTTATAATAAATGTTAGCTAGCATGAAATGTCAGTTTCATCTATTTTAGCTGTCGTGCTTCAAGCTGTGATAATGTTATGTCCTGTGCAGCTTTCAATCTTTAGAGTAGTACCAATATTCTTATAAATTTTTTCAGCTTTCCTGAATATTACTGTTTATATGTTGTTAATTTTAGTGATTAAGTGAAGTAATGTGCTCTCAACATATCACATGTTGTAGAACTGTTCTCGTTTTGTTATAAAGTATGAATGCTCAGCATTCCTCATGACTAATATGGTAGAAAACTGCACGACAAAAGATAGTTTTGTTATCTGTATATCACTAACACTCATCCTTTCAGAGGAAAACTTCTATGTAAGCCGTGGTTTGTAATCTCAGTGTGTAATTTTTTTCCTCTTGTTTACCTTGTTACATGTCTGATCCATTCGCTATTTACTTTTAGTATTTAGGGTAGTCCATTGCACAGGCGTTGTGAAAAGTAGTTTGTATGTACAGATCTCATCTTCATGTCCCCTTTGTGTCCCAGTTGGCGATAAATGTTAAAATTCAAGCAAGTTCTATTTGTGCTATTTTTGTTTTACCAAAGTGAAAGTTATCTTTAATGACCTTCAGATCAAAACTCCTAAAATATGTTTGTGAATTTGTTATGGTGTAAAGTAAGACAATGAATGACGTTGTACTAACTCTTTTATTAAGGTATAAGCCTTTATCTCTACCTTAATGTAAAAGACATCTATGTATGTTCCTGGCCAGAAATTTGACAGCAATTTAGTCACATTTAATTGAATCATTTGGACTTGCACATCTTGTGTGTGAATCTTATTGTAACAGATATGTGTAATGCACTGAGCTTACAGTAAGTAAGGCACATTGGAAGGTAAGGCATATTGAAAGCTAAATTCAATTGTGTTTGTCAATGAAAACCATTTTATTCTGACTTATAAATCAAAGTAGTAATATTTATGTCATGATGTTTCCTTCCTCTATTCTCTATCTAATTAAAAAAGCAGGAATTATTTGTCTTTACAATACTTTTGTATCAATAGCTCTATCCCTACTTTGCAAGTCTTACCAAACTACATTTATAGTCTCTGCCATTTTTTTTGTAGTGTAGTTGACCACTGTTTACAGAGACTTAAAAGTTGAAGTGGTTTTCAACTTTGCATTAAACTAGTCAAATCAATGTAGGCAGTTATTCTGCATCTACCCAAACTGATTATTAAAATGATAAAGGGATTATTGTACTGTATCAATTGTAAAGTTGTGAGATAAAATTGTTGAGTCTCAAAAGTTGAGACATGAGAAGGATGTTCAAATGTACTGGGTGGTATCGAACTGTCAATCATCTGCGAGAAAGCAATTAACATGTATAAAAGGTATATCCCATGAATCATTCCAAGTTTGTTGTTGTTTTTCTTAATTGATGCCAAAAATATTTTTCAAGATTCATACTACAATTATGACGTGACTGGCATATCAGAGTGCAAGTGATAGATACATTTATATCATATATATTGTAGTAGAAATGGAGTCAGTATTTTCTTATACTTTGTATTAGGTAATGGTATTACAAGCAAATAAATTGAATATTTTATTAAAGTGAATTCTTATAAATGTAGTAGAAAACAATAAATAAAAAGATGTTAATATCCCTATTTAAAGCTGTTTTGTAGTTTTTGAACAAGTGTATGCGGGCTCACTTTGCATGCACTCATTATTTTGTTCCCAAATGCTCAATGTCTGAATGAAGAGGCCTTTTTCAAGGCTCAACAGAACTGTCACTGTGACCATCTGGAACAGAGGAATTTTCACTGATTATTGAAGATGACAGGGTATCAAAATACTTAAACAATAGTAATTTATTAAAAATAAATATCAGCACTATATTGGACAGGCCTCAAGGTTATAGCGGGAACTACAATACTATCTTACCCGGCAGATATACAACGAGGACCGTGATTACCACCACTCCAGCCGTGAACGACAGGAACTGCAGCAGCCGTCGCCCGAAATTGTGCTGTGACCGGGCGCGTTCGCGGGGCAGGACCTCAGCCAGGGTGACGTAGAGGAGCGTGCCGGCGGCCGAGGCCTGGAGAGCGGGGAGCAGGACCGGGTCCGAGGTCGGGTCCGAGGCCCCGGGCAGAGCGTACAGGATCATGCCGACACCGACACCTGCCGCAGAGCCAAGCGCGAACACGAGCACGGCCACCAGGTGCGGGACCAGCCCCACGCCGCCGCCAACCAGCTCGGCGCCCAGGCAGAAGGACACGACCAGCTTGTGGGAGCTCACCGCGCCCAGCAGGAACAGCACCTGCCCCGGCGTCTCCTCCAGCCCCACGGCCAGGCCCTCGATGACGGAGTGTATGCAGAGGGCGAGGAGGAGCCCCCAGCAAGATGCCGTGCCTGCGCCGCCCAGGTGGGCCCCTGGGGCCTCTGCGGACGGGCCGCGGCTGTCTGCGGGAGACTTGGCCTCGGCCCCAGACAACAGATGCACTTCCTCAACAGACGACGTCCCTACCGCAGCCGTCGGACGTCTGGAAAATCAATTACGGCGTTGTTTACTCTCTTTTTACGTGTTTACTTCAAAGTGCTATATTTGTCGACAAACGCAACGCTCACCTCTGTATGTTCACAGACTCGTCCATCGAACCGTAGTCATCCCGCCGACGCACCCCCGGGCTCTTGCTGCAACACAACAGGAAACAGAGCGGGCGGCTAGTGGGGCACACGCCCGGAGACAAACACGCAGCAGGTCAAGCAAAGCAAGAGCCTGGGACTCACCCTGGGGGGCAGGGCGGGCACGGCTCGTCCACCGGACACGCGGCGTGCGGCTGCGCCCGGTGCGCGCGCGCCGCGGCCGGGGAATGCCCAAGCACCCTCTGCACCAGCTCGTCGACGAGGTAGAGCACCAGGAAGCCGATGAGCAGGGCGACGGGGGCTGCGCGCGGCAACACCTCGCTGGCCTCCACCAGCATGTGCACCAGCGCGGTGGCCAGGAGCGCGCCGGCGCCGAACGAGAGGAGCGCGGTGAGCAGCGGGCCCGCCCCCGCCGCGTGCCGCGGGCAGTCGTCGGCGTCGAACGAAGGGCGCCGCCCCCCGCGCAGCCACAGCGGCAGCAGGCCCAGCACCAAGCTGGCCGCCCCCATGGACGTCAGCGAGATCACCTTGGTCTCCACGAGACCCAGCATGGTGGCGGCGAGGGGTAGTTAGCGTCGGGCCTCGCTGTCTGCTTCACGACGGCGCGCCGTCGTCCTCCCCAAGCAGGCCGCCCTCCTCAAGTGGGTGGCCGAGCTCGACCACTCTCCTCGTGTGGCTCAGTGCGGCTGCCTGCCCCGCTGCCCGCTCTGCCTCGCTCTGTATCTCTGAGCAATGTTGACTCCCGGCCGCCGGGCCGAGCCGCGCGCCAGAGCCACGCCCCACCTCCGCCTTTCTCTCTCTGTCCCTCCCAGCCCCAGCGGACTCCTTTATCTGTCAAAAAATCGTCATTCTCGGATGAGCGGTAAGTTGAAGACGACACTAAAATTTGATTTGCACGCGACGTTATTATTCAGAAATTGTAAACAAAAAATACTGAGAAATAAGACGGAACCACCTCATTTTGTTTTGGTATATGTCTGTGAAATCAAGTCCATAAGCGAAATCGTCGAGATCGGAACACTAGCTTCAGTCGGCTGGATTTAACTGGAAGTTATTCACAAATGTCGAGCTTCCTCATGCGATGACACTCGTCTGCTTCGGGCGAGGAGGGGCTCAGCGCGCGCACCGCGCACCCATCATCGGGGGGGAAGGTCCTAACTGGCCCCTGTCTGACTATACTGCGCTTTGTGCCCGATAAGCCAGCACGACGGGGGCAGATAACGTGAACCACATTGCGCTTTTCATTTCGGTAGTCCTTCTAGATAAGTACTTTGCACTTGAACCACATTGTGGGACTTGCGGTCGCACGCCCACACCTACCTATACCTCACCGGGGTAAATTAACTCGAACCACTACACCCCCATTTTTATTTCGACCAAAATATGCATATATGTATTTACAGAGTCAGTATGTGATGTGACCACTATGTAGTCACACTCCCATGTGAAACCCTAGGCACCAAAAATCAGCCACACTCAATGTGTTGATGCACATGCATGTTAAAAAGTTAAGCTGAAATTTGATAGATGGGAAAGAAAGGTTTGAAGATGCAAGATCAATATTCTTTGTATTTCCTGACCCTACCCGCTAAAGTTTGATATGAGACACACTGACCAATACTTACCAAACCAAAGCCGGCCGGAGTTGTTACTGCACGTACGTACACCTATATGGCGCCGATACGTAGGCAACCCATCGTACATTTCGCGGGATAATTAAAATTCTCATACGTTGGGATCCAGAGATAGTCTCTCTGCCCGCCCGAAATCGAGCGGTCGAGAGATTTTTGCGCAGGTTAGGTTAAACGCCATTGTTTGTTGTTTTGCAGCTTGCATCAGCTGTCAGTGTTGTCCTCTGAGATGTTGTTTTTTCGAAGGAATTATTCGTAAATAGTGATTCGTTTCTTGAAAGTAAATTGTCGTTTCTTTGGTTTGCCGTGCTCGATTATCTCCGGATTAACCCCTGTATCATCACTGATTGTTGTGAATGCAACGGTTATAGAACACCAAATACTTTTGTATTCTACTAATTAGCAGGTAAAACAACAATTGATGCTGCGTTTGAAATCAACCTTTGTTTCTGAATGGAAGTTATTTTTGTCATCTGTCAACTATCAATGAATATATATCGTTTCCATAGTGAACTCTATTAAGCATGAACTGAAACGTCACAGAAATAAAATAATTCATTAATTCTAATTTTTAATTTTTTTCTATAGGGTGCCAAAGGAATAAGGAACTAAAATGGTTTGCGACAAATGTGAGAAGAAATTGGGGAAAGTCATAACCCCTGACCCTTGGAAGTCTGGTGCACGAAATACAACTGAAGGAGGCGGACGCAAAATTGGAGAAAACAAAGCCTTAACAGCACGATCAAGAGCTTCTCCTTACACAACTTCATTTAACTGCTGTCGAATTTGTAGACAAAAAGTCCATCAGGTTTGTATAATTAAAAATTAGCCCTCGTGAGTACTCACAGCTTGTTTAAAGTTTAGTAAGACATGTCATTTTGTTTACAGGCTGGTTCACATTATTGTCAAGCATGTGCCTACAAGAAAGCAATTTGTGCCATGTGTGGAGTGAAAATGTTGAACACTAAAAACTACAAGCAGTCTGCAGCCTAATTTCTGAATCTGCTGTGACGTTTATGAACTCCGTTGTTCCATTGTTGTGTGAAATGTCAAACGTGTTAAATATGGGTTATGAATTATTTATATTTCATTTAGGTTGTTTATAGATATTCTGAAATTTTGTTAATACTGTCCTTATCTGAATTAATATCTTTGCAAAGCAAGTAACTAAGTTATTATTTCTGATTTGCTGTTAATATAATTGTGAATAGTGACAAATGCAGAGGTGTTATCATGCCTTCATTAAATATTCGTTCCATCTCTTAAAACTTTGTTATTTTGGTTTTTTAATAGTTTAAAAAAAATAATGGCCCACCTCTATATAACCCCTCATCACTACAACAATACAAGGGCTCAACAATGAAATCTCTCTAACCAAGTATTTAGGATTGATTATCTTAAAACAAAATTCATGTACCGGTAACATAGATTATTTTATTTCTGGTTAAATTAATAATGGCTCCTTTTAGACCTAGCTTCAACAAAATTTGCGACAGCATTTGCGGTGTTCAGGTGTGCAAAACAATTATGGAAGTTTTAATGCCTTAATTTGTCTTAAGGACTAACATGTTTTTCGTTTAGCTACAAAAAGCTATCTCAACTTGTCATGCCACTCGACGAGAGTTTGGTAACAGTTCTAGTAGTGATAGACAAACCCACAGGAAACGGCCATGGTTTATTGAAATATTCAGGTGATCTATATAGTCATTTTGGAAAACTCAGCATGGTGCTGTGTGTTTGTGAGACTTCTGGCTCTCTCCTCTCTCAGGCCACGCGCCGCTGTTGGGGAAGCCCGGCCTCCCATCGAACAGTGTCGCAAGCAGCGCCTGCTGGCCCTAGAGCAGTGTCGCCGTGAAGCCGGCTGTGAGAGGTGAACTGTGGGTGGTTTCATACTTCTGCCAATGACAAACACAGCAACAGCTTGGTGTCTATGACAGTTGCGCCGACTTTTGGTGTGACTTGGCCGTCGTGTCAACACCTCCACGAACCGAGCCACTCGTCTACCATCGGTCTGAAGCACCACCTGTTCCTGGTCCACGGCCACCACCCCCACAAGTTCTACGGTGCAACCACACTACAAGGTAATGTCAATGAAGAAAAGTTGTGCTTGTTGACCTGGGTCTACTCCTGTCGAATTTTGTCTTTGAATAGCTGCTCAGATTCTTGGAGTCCAAATCTTGCCAATGTCCAAGCCCTATCAAAGGACAAAGACAAATGGACAACTCAACACAAACCCTACGAGGGATTCACTTATTGTGGAGTCAACCTGCCTGCAATAAATTTCTGAAGTTCTTCTGGAAACAATAATTTACCAGTGAATATTAGTGTAACACTAGGTAAATTGACACAAAATGACAATGATAACATAAAAGAATAATTTATTAATCCTGTAGTGCAATGCAAAAATAAACAGGTTTACAATCAATTGATTAAATATTTACAAAATAGTAACAAATGGGGCTGTTTTTCAACCAATTAGTAAAATTATATATTATGCAACCATTTGATCAGGATCAGAAAGTACACAAGTTCAGTTTTTATAGATCTTGATTCACTGACAAATTGGGATGCTTATGCTTATACTTAAGGAAAGTATTCTGGAGTTGGCATATTTCTTGGTGTACTGGGTAAATCATCTAAAGTAACAGCTCGGGGAGTATGAAGTAAACTAGGAGTTTTCTCCTCATCCAGCTGTGGTAGGCTATCTGTAAAACAACAAGATAAAACCGAAGATGGGAATGAATAAACCAAACAATGACAGTTGTAAATTTAAAGTATGTACATTGAAATAAATTTACCATTAAATCGGAGTTGCTGGAGTCTATCTTGAAGATCCTTATCACTGTCATCAAGGTTTCCACCTGGTCCAGGTCCAGATGTAGGTGCAGATTCTTCAGCTAGAAGATCGCTTAGTTCTTCCTCCAAACCTTCATCGGTGTTACTGTCTACTGGCTCAGCTAATAGAGCTTGAATTTCATTGTGTGTATCAAGGACCTCCTTGACATCATCCATGGTATTAGCAACATCATCCTCTGTAAGACCAGCAGCCTTGAAGGTCTTTTTAAGAGCAGCTACACCGACTTGGTACGACTCCAAAACCTAATAAAATAACCAATCAGATAAGAAGAAAGGATGCAATAAACTTATGCATATGTAGATCCAATCCTACATTGAACCTTAAAAATAATTTACCTGGCTATCAGAGGAAGCATCTCGAATTCTTGCCAATAAAACTTGAACATTATCTAATGCATTGGATCGCTTCTCTATAACCCTCTCAAGTTCTTTCTTTTTTCTTAGACAACTTTTAGCCTAATAAAGGAAAACATATAAATAACAAGAAAAGACTTTCTGTAAAAAACATACTGATTATCAATAAAGACCTACTGTGGATCTCATCCCTTTGGCAAGGTAAGCTTTTGCTTGTTTTAGTGTATCTTGCTTTTCGTTTTCAAGACGCTCTAGGTAATGTAATAAAGCTTTTTCATTACAAGACAAAGTATATATACCACGATCTACATCAGTGATGGTTGGCTTTGACTTCATATTTGAGCTTCGAAGTTTAATCAAAATTTGGGACTTATTAGTCTTATCAATGTCTTGATCAGTAACAGCTGCATACCCCTGAAATAAAAAATAAATGAATTATTTAACTTTTAAAATGAAATCATGCAAAAGTTATTGGCATTCAAGTAGTGTTAATCAAGGTATTTTAACACAAAATTTTAAAAAAGAAGAAAGCTCATTATTTTGTTCCCAAATGCTCAATGTCTGAATGAAGAGGCCTTTTTCAAGGCTCAACAGAACTGTCACTGTGACCATCTGGAACAGAGGAATTTTCACTGATTATTGAAGATGACAGGGTATCAAAATACTTAAACAATAGTAATTTATTA